CCGGCGTGGCCGCCCAGTATGTCTCCAACCACGCCTTCAACCAGAGCGGCCCGCTCAAGCCGCACGCCTTTGCCCTGGGCATCATCGCGCTGGACGTGTCGGAGCGCGAGGCCCGGGTGCAGCTCACGCCCTACCCCGCCCAGCCCGAGAAAGCCCACCTGCGGGCGCTCTACCTGTGCGCCGCCAGCGGCCCGGCCCGCGCCCCGGTGCAGTGGTCCCTGGTGCAGGAGGGAGTCAACTCCTACTGGTTCCAGGGCTTGAGCCCCGGCACCAACTACTCGGTCTGCCTGACGCACCTGGGGGAGGAGTGCCAGGTGCAGGTGGTCTTCACCACGAAGGCGGAAGTCCCCTCCCTCCTCATCATCGTGGCCGTCAGCATCTTCCTGCTGGCCCTGGCCACGCCCCGGTGCAGTGGTCCCTGGTGCAGGAGGGAGTCAACTCCTACTGGTTCCAGGGCTTGAGCCCCGGCACCAACTACTCGGTCTGCCTGACGCACCTGGGGGAGGAGTGCCAGGTGCAGGTGGTCTTCACCACGAAGGCGGAAGTCCCCTCCCTCCTCATCATCGTGGCCGTCAGCATCTTCCTGCTGGCCCTGGCCACCGTCCCGCTGCTGGGGGCCACCTGCTGCCACCTGCTCGCCAAGCACCAGGGCAAGACCTACAAGCTCATCATGAGGGCCCAGAACCCGGACCCCATGGAGAAGCACATGGCGGCCGACTTCGACCCGCGCGCCTCCTACCTGGAGTCGGAGAAGAACTACAACCCGAGCGAGGCGGGCGCCGGGGCGGCGGGGGAGAGGGAGCTGGAGCGCGAGGAGAGCCTGGTGGCCGAGTCCATCGCCGAGTGCCAGTCCAAAGCCAACCCGGAGGAGTTCGAGGTGGGCTCCGAGTACAGCGACCGGCTGCCCCTGGGGGCCGAGGCTGTGAACATCTCCCAGGAGATCAACGGGAACTACCGGCAGCCAGCGCGCTGATCCGGCCCTGGCCGCCCACGCCCCAGCCTGCTCAGTGCACCCCACAGTCAGAACAAACGGGGGGGGGGGGGCTGAGCCAACCCTTCCAAAGACACTTCTGCCAACAGCCCAGCGTGGGGGAATCCAGCAGCTTGCAGTTCCCAGCCGGTGTTTCTGGCTCGAGAGGGGCTTCAGGGCGGGGAGATTTTTAAACAAAACCGTGGAACGAATTGGCTTTTAAAAATCGTTTTGAACACGCTATGTAAAATACATTTTTATCTCAGCTTCCAACACTGTAATCGTGAACGGAGGCTGTGCTCTTTTTTAAAAAGCTATGTTGGTTTGTGACAGTTAAAACGCGAGGGATCGACCTTTCCCCTCGTTTACAAAAGAAAATCTGGAGGATTTCCCGAGTTAATTCGGCAGAGCCCTGTCATTTCAAGCGTGGGTGTTGTCAATTTCAGCAGGTTGCTGTGCTGGACAGCTCCCGTCCCCATCCTGCGCCAATGCAAACGGCTGCGCCTTTCCCACGCTGGGGCGGACAAATCCGGGGTGGGGAGGATGGGGAACTGTGAAACGGAAATCCGATCCGATCAAAGAGACACGCGGTGAGCGGGTCACCTGTAGCTACAGTGTTAATGAGCCGTGCTGTAGAATTGGAGCTGTGTGTGTGTGACTTGGACCCCTCGTCGCTTGTGGGTGCTTCTAATTTCTTTAGAGGTAGGGAGGCCGGTGGAAATAGCCCCGCCTGTGATCTTTGTTGTCCCTTTTTTTCCAGCCCTTTTGGGAGGAATGTGACTCGCTGAGGTTCCCTAGATGTTCGTTAAATAGCGTAGCGCGTAGAGAGAAATGTGCGTACCCTTGCTGTGAGTCTGTGCTGTGCAAAGGGGAGCGGGACACGATGGGTCTCGTTGGCCGCGGAACTGAGAAACATGTGAAATGTGTATGCAGCAGGTGCATCTGTGAGCTTTTTATTCGTTGCCTCTGTATTTCCAAAGCACCACAATCAAAATGAAATCAGCACAACTGTCCCCAAGGAGGGGAAGGGCGGGTTGTTAATGGATTCGTGCGTACTTTCAAAAGCAACCTTAAAATCACACTGAACAATAACCTTTTCCAAGCGCTTCTGTATGTGAAGAGTCAATAAAACCGATCTGAAATGGACTTTTTGGTCATTATTTGCGGGGGTGGGGATATGGGTAGATACATGGAACTCGCGGCCAGTTCCCACGAAAAGGCTCTCGTATAATCATCCCCCTCTGCTATTCTGCTTTGACTCGACCGGGATTCTGTTTTCAGCCGCAGATATTGTTTTAACTTGTGCCGTTGGATATTCTAATGTCTCCCGCGGGAGGGTTTGGTGTGCGCGGTTCGGTTTGCTTGGTGCTGTGCCATATTCGTTCTCCTCACCCGACGCGGGGCCGTGGCCAGGGGCGGGCCGGCCCGGGCTATTCT